ATAATAAATTACTTATGATAATCACCTCTAAGACTTATTAAAATTCCATTTTTATGACTTTTGTTCTAATAAGACTTTTATAACTAATAAATACTTCTAAATTCTAATAAATAATTAATTAGTTAAAAAAACTGTCTAACCTTAATATTTGTACAATTGAATGATTTAAAACTACATTTTTAAGCAATCCACCAATTAAGATGCATTCATGGTACTTACAAAAATATTTAAAATATCCATGTGTATCCAACTTTACAAATCTTAAGGCAACCAATTCCATTTTAGTGTCTATATATCTCTTCTAAGATGTGCTAATCAATCGTAGAAAGTGTAAGAGTAATGTTGAAGAAAGAGAGTTTAGTCTGGACCATATATTATCAATCAAAATAAAATTTGGGATTAGTGGCATTAGTATGCACAATCTAAATTCAATAAAGAATGAAGGGCCATCAACATCAGGTGTTATATTGAATTTTTTTTGATGGAAAAATATTAAACCATTTTAGATAACTTCAAAATCTAGACTACAATGATTAGAGATTAATTTACTATCATCTTTCAATCTTAATAAACTAAGTAAAGCCATATTAGATGCAAAATTTGACTCTTCTTTCAACTAATCAAATGGTAAAGAATTAGATGTTGATTCAATGCATATGCAATCAAGTGATTGAACAAGGACCTCACCAGCTATTATATCCATGCAATCAATAACTTAATAAAGGAAGAGACATATGGTCTATATGCATAAGATGAAATTTTTCTAATACAATAAGCTATAAATTAATATTAGTAAGAATAAATTTAAAGCTATCTATGGAATATCACCAAGAATATTAAATAAATAAATAAATAAAATATAGTACTTACAAGAAAAAGGTTATTAATGAAAAACTAAAGAAAGAAGATTGATAGTCGCTATTCTTCAAATCTTGTAGTTATCATTGCTTTTTCTAAAAAAGACTCAAAAAATTTATGTGAACAATTAAGATACACTTTTAAATGAGAGGTATTGAAATTATACTTATTATGGTATCTAAAATATATGAAAGTCAAGATATCAATAAAATATCTAAAATAGATATCAATTAGGATATCATAAAGATATAGACTAGTCTAAAAGAGTTCTTCAGTAAAGAATCCTATTGGATATAGAATTGACTAAGCCTTATTCTTCCATGTACTTGACTCCTCTCTTTAAATCCAACTTGTATTTCAAACTAACACATTCTAATCTAATTTTTTTGGATCATAGACGTTTTGTTAAACAAAGGATATTAGGTAGATAAAATTTAGGACTATTGAAGTAGCAAATAATCTTGTTGTTGTTATAAAAGATTGATTATGAGACAAAAAGTTACCCGGAGAATGTTGAAAGCATAATATTTGTTATGATTTATTTGTTTGTACATGGAATAGATTGAGATGACAATCTTTTATAGTAATTTTGAATAAATACAAGTGATGTTGATGACAAAAATAAACATGATTTATAATTCTTAATTCAAGTTTTGACTAACAAAATGAATATATTGGTTATTCAAATAATTTTGTTATGTATCATAGCAAATAAAACTATTAGATTGTCTTCTACATTTAGAAAGAAATTTTAATGATATTTTATTAGATAATTTATTTGACATTCTTTTTGTAATTATGATAAATAAAATTATGATAAGATTATTAAAAAATAGAATTTATGAAGAAAATATAATCCGTTTTTTCAAACCTTTGTATGATGATGTTTACAAAAAAATGGCTAAAATGTGGCATTGATAGAAAAAAAGACTGAACTTATAACACATTATGTTAAAAAATATAAATTTTTGCATAAAAAACTAAACAATATTATATCTTCATCTTTTGAAGGAAGAAGAATATTGTCGAGGTAGAAAATGCATGATAATATATATATATATATATATATATATATATGTATTTATCATACAACCTATTTCATATGCTTTTTGAATTTTTATTGAATTTTTATTAATTTTTTTGTAATTTATAAAGTTTTTAGATGTATAAAATTTGATGTATTAATTTGTAATATATATTTTATAAAATGCGCTGTTTAATAAGAAATCCAAATTAGTCTTTATAAAAGAAATAATTTTTATTAAAACATAAATAGCTTCTATAATTGAATCAAATTTAATTTTTCACTACCAAATTAATAAATATATGTCTTTTAAGTTTTACACACACACACACACATACACACACACACATATATATATATATATATATATATATATATATATAAGTATATATTGAATATTTTAATTAATTAAATAAAATTAAAATAACAATTTTTTCAATATATTATTTTAATTTTAAAACTAAAAATATTCTATATCAATCAACCTACATAATTTATTCATATAATCAAAACTATAAAAGATTAAATTTTTATAAAAATTTAAAAATCTTACAATATAAAAAAATATTAGATGAATTTTAATTTTAGTATTTATAAAATAAATAGTATATTTAGTGTATGTTTTTTAAAAAATATATTAATTTATTTTAAATCTCATAAAAATTATAAGCACATTATTAGAAGAAATAAGATTTGTATTTTGTCATGGTTACTTAAAATTCTTAGATAATATTTAAAATAAAATAATAGAAATAAATTAGACAAATATTATTTTTTTAAAGAAAAATTTTAAATTTTTTTTAGATGTGGATTGGATCTTTAAATGTCTTTAGATTTGTCATGTAGCTATAAGAGCTTTTTTCAAAAGTTATTTATATTTTAGAAACCAATATATAAATTTCATATATGTTAGATTCTTACCTTACAAGTCTTATGGTTCTTAAAAGGCTTCTACATACTTTTAATATTAGCTACTAAAAATAAAAGTAAGTTTGAGATTATTTTTAGTCTTCTCAATATTTTTTATATATATTTTAGATATAATTCAAGATTTATTATTATCAAAGATATAAACCAAAACAAATTATAAAAATGACAATACATTCTTATATCACCAAAAGAGAGAAAACAAATATTTAAAAGATAGACATAGAATTGAAACTAGAATGGATATTGTCAAATATAGAAGAACTCGGAAGTCCTAAACTAAGATAGAATACAAGAAGGGCGTTGATAAGAGTGAGAAAAGCCTCATTCTTGCCTCCATATATACTATATACTAAAGAACTATATAGCAATGTTATATAGGCTATATGACATATGTCTAACTTGAGGAAAAAGTGCCTAATGTGTAGGTTGAGTTTCTAACATGTAATAATACAAGTTGTTGAATGTGCAATATGTAGCCAACTTAAGTAGTAGCTATTCCTATAGAAATTGGTTAGTTTATCAAGTATCTAGATAATATATTATTTAAAATTAGAAATAGTATTAAAAAATATATGTATTATTGAAGATATATATATATATATATATATATATATATATATATATATATTTTAAATCTTTTTATTCCTATTATCTAATTAATTTTAATCTATATAGATTTAATAAATAATTAAAAATAGTAGAGTTTATAATAGAAGATATTTGAATTATTTCTAAATATTTTGTAATAGCAAAAATTCATGATAGTCAACTTTTTTTGTTATAAAATTAAAGCATTATTTTTTTGAATGCTTTTAAAAATTTTAAATTTTCTTAGGAATTTCCAAAATCTCTTATATAATTTTCTATGTACCACTAATTGTAGAAGACTCTTTAATCTTTGAAATATCCTTTATGGTTTAGTACCTTCTATGAACTTTTGAGAATCTTTAGAATTATCCATAACTTCTATAGTCTTATAGAAGTTTTGAATTATTTTTTTTGAACTTCTTAAACATTGCATTGTTCTTATAATCTTCTATTTTCTGCAGTAAAAAATAAAATAAAATAAAAAATAAAAAGAAAAGGAAAAAAAATGACAGCTTAGTCTTTCTAATACAAGTTTTGGAATAGCCCAAGTATTATCTTGGGCTTCTAGTTTTATTTTTAGTTTTATTTTTACTATTTTTCTTGTTGTAAGTTTTTATCTCTTTTCTTCTTATCCTAAAAAAATAGTAAAAATAAAACTTACAACTTATTTATACTAATCTTGAGAATATTGCTTTTGCAACCAATCTTGCATTGAAGTATACTATGAATCTATCATATTACAAAATCTTACTTTAAGTTAATGATTTTTTTTAGATTTTAAAAGTTCTGATTTTTTTTCAAATAATATGTAACTTTAAATACTACCAAAGATTTAATTTGTAGATTTTTTTATACTAAAACAAAATAAAATACATTAGTTTCAACTACAAGACTGCCAAGTACAAACACATCATTGCCAAAATAAAATTAGCAAAACTCCATCGATATTGGTTTATTCCCTTAGAAGTTATACTAACCACATTGTAAAGAGCCAAAACTATCTAAAAAGAAATTGATATCAATAACTTATTTTCACATTTGTCAGTCAATCAAATTTTCTATGCAAGTAGTCATGTCCTTCTAAGATATTAACACAAACCCTTCTCCCAAAATCAACAAAATATTATTCCCTCATACTCCAAATCCTTCAACCAAGCCATGTATGAGAATTTTGGGAATGTAAGCTTTGAGGATGATATTGCCACCATAATATATGAAATGAATGTCTTTGGGTTTTCCTACTGCAATGTCCCGAATGAGTTCAAGCAGCAAGATTGGTCCAACAAAAGAATATGTGGACAAGTCAGATTTCACTGTTACATACTAACTCCACATTTCATTGCTTCTTTTATCAATTGCATGATTTCATCTTCCTGCAGTTTACAAAACTTTCAGAAGTAATTTATCACAAAACTTTCACCTTTGCGCCAGTTTACAGGCACAAGTCATGTGAAACAATGAAAGGTTTCGAACAAAACTGAGTTGCAAAGCAGCAAATAAGTTGTAGTACGAAATTCTGAGGCCAGGATTGAATCCTCGGTTGGGACACTCTCTTTTTTGGCTTTCCAAATCTCTTCCTCTTCATGTGGCCACCGCTTGCCTGCGCTTCTTCCTTTGTGGCCGCTTCGCATTGCAGCTCTCCTTTTCTCATCAACGTGTCGCTCCAGTTTTGCAACAGTTAAACGAGTTCGCCACCAGTTAAGAGTGTGTTGTTTTCTCCCCCGTGTTCAGATGCAAACTTGAGTTAACGTGGTGGGTGGTGGTGAAGGGGGAGAGCTGAAATTTAGCGAACTGAGCCATGGCCACACATTCACTCTCTCAAACCTGCGGGGTGGTGCCGAAATTCACTGGGTTGTGTCCGCTGGAGAGTGAATGTGCGAGGAGCAAATTTGTGGGTGCGGGTAGTGTACGAGTTCCGAGAAGTTTGGGAGGAGGGTTAGCTACGCAAAATGAATTTGGTAGTTGTAATGCGCTCAAGGATTGTATAGAGAGAGCTGAATTTGGAAGAGGAAGGATGTTGAGGAGTAGACGGAGTGGCGATGCGAGGGCAGCGCAAGCTGAGCCGCCTATCATGGTGAAAGAGAAGAAGGGGTTGCCGGATGGGTACATGGAGGAGATGCAGGAGTTTTTGAAGAAGGATTTGGTGCACTTGTTTGATGAGCAAGGCATCGACAAAACAATGTATGACCAGAAAGTGGAGTTTCGGGACCCTATCACAAACTACGACACTCTGGATGGTTACCTATTTAATATCAGTATGCTGCGGGAGCTCTTCCATCCAATTTTTGAGCTACATAGTGTGAAGCAGGTATATTGATCCTGTCTGATTGGCTCTTTTAAAGTGGAGGAAAATTTCTGCTGCGAACTTGCAAGAATGTCTCAGACCTTCTCGTTCAAACTCGTGACCTTGCATTCATTAACGTTTTCCAAACGCAGATTTCACGGTTTGTTGTGAACACTTGTCAACCCTCAATTGTCTACGTTTAGATGCTTAATCGACCTGCTCATTTCGATACACCAGTAAATTCAGCGATTCATGTAAATAATGAAGTGCGTCTTCTGTGCTTTCACGAAAAGCGTTAGTGAGATCGACAAGATGAATTGGTGTAGTGGAAATTCTCTAGGTAGTCATTTCATCTTTTCTAATGGAATTGGATCTATTGTGTATGCATGCTCGTGCTTTTAGACAGGACCGTATGAGCTTACAACTAGGTGGACGATGACGATGAATTTTTGGATCCTCTTGTGGAAGCCCCAACTTATTTTTACGGGGGTGTCAATTATGCGAGTCAATCCAGAAACTGGCAAGTTTCGAGCACACATTGTAAGCGACTTCCTCTGTTGCTCGGATTATAGAACACTGTCGATAGCTTTGGCATTACAAAAATGGTCACCACCGTTGTGCTTTGAGGATTTCCATTATTCCTGTGTTCATTTAGAGCAATTCTCATTCAAATGTGTGAACATTCGGTTTCATGGTGTAGACCTCTATTGTTAGCTTGTGTTTTAGCGTGACACACTGACCCGAAGCTGATGTTTCAGTTTTGTACTGCTGCCGGTATTCTTTTGAGAGTATTTACAGAATGGAGCTCTTTTACAAAATAAATATCTACCTTACAAACAAGGTGAAATATTCATTTTATTTTTACTGATAATAAACCGTGTTTGCTGCATGTGACTTGATATGCAGGATTTGTGGGACTCTATTCAAAACAATGATTATTTCTCAGTTGAGGGTGCAAAAGATGTCATCAGGCAGGTTGATAGCATCACCTCTCACCTGCTAAATATTCTCTTAGTATCTCTTTTTATTATAAATCTATTTTCCTTTTCTATAAGCACTTCTTTTTCTGGATTGCTTTCTCAAAGCAGTTCATGGATTTTTATATCCTTATTTGTATTCATATTCATATTCATTCATTCATTCATTTGTTTTTTTTTCCTGTAAGGATTGTTCTCTGATTGAAGGATTCAGATCCTTGGATGGCAGGATGCAGGCTTAAGCATAATGAGAAATTTTCATCTTGACACTTTTGTGGTGCTCTTGTGATGTGTAGATGCAATACTTCAAGCAACCTGATTTGGAAACTCCGAAGTATAGGGTTTTGAAGAGAACTGCTCTCTACGAGGTAGTCTTTCACGGCAATACCTAGTATCCTTAGTCTATGTCTCCTCCGTTCAAAGTTTTCTGACATCGGGTGTACAAGCCACACAGGCTGGTTACAGTAACTCGTTTTCTTAATTTCTGAGGTCGTTCTAATGTGTGGTTTGAGTGCAGGTGCGAGAATACGAACCATTTATCGTAGTGGAGACCGACTGTGATAGTATGGCCGGTTCCAAAGGATTTAACACAGTTGCTGGGTATGTTTAATAGTTCGTTTGCGTCTTATGCGGTTTTAAGCGAGATTCAGAAACCTAGACTCTCCAAAGTATACGTTGTATCGTATTCTTTTCTACTATCATGCTCAAGAGAGCTTTAGATAGCGGTGCAAATGGGTTCTAAGCTTCGTGGTATTGGTGATAGGTACATATTTGGAAAGAATGAAAAGGGTGAGAAAATGAAGATGACTACTCCTGTTTATACCGAAACAAATAACGAGCCATCGGCCGATGGAGCAAAAATCCAAATTGTGCTACCATTGAGTTGCAAATTATCAGAGTGAGTTCACCTTAATCTAGGAAGAAATATTCCCTAGCATCGATTTCTCCGATGAGTTGAAATTTTAGTTATCTGCTTTAATTATCTGTGTTCGCTGAACCTCTCAGGACCACCTTGTTTTGAAGGGCTTTACATGCTGATGGATGGTAACAAAGACTGCTTGTGTGGGTTGCAGGTTGCCTGCCCCTGAGGCAGACAATGTAATGATTCAGCAAGTTGATAAACGAGTCGCAGCGGCTATTCGTTTCAACGGGAAGCCGACTCTAGAAGTTGTGGAAGAAAAGAAAAAGATTCTTGAACAGGCACTGAGGAAAGATGGGCTGAAAATGAAGGGAACATTTGGATTAGCTCGTTATAATGATCCAGGACGGACTTGGCCCGTTTTCATGGTAAAATTACTTCACAAGCTTAGCTCTACATCTAGTTTTTCTACCTCCATACTATTTCAACTTCTTGAAATCTTATTTATTTTGCATGAATTTTGTTTCGTTTACTGAATACACAGTTGACCTATTGCTTCGGCAGAAAAACGAAGTACTTGCGTGGCTGGAGGACTTTCAACTGGACTGAAACTGCATCTCTCGCACGGTTACTTGTTTCCCAACACCAACACCATTGGAATGAGAGCATTTCGCTCACAAGTAGATCTTTCTACTAGGGACCTACATGGACCCTTATCAGGAAAAAGTAGTTCGGTAGCTTGATACTGAGTGTGATGTATAGTTTTGTACCGAAACCATATAATTGATCATTTTCTAGATTTATCTCCTACTGGGTCTCCTGCACCATGTTTGCGAGCACTGTAACGACTGCAATTGAAGAGTGTTGGTTCTAGACTGAGCATTGATTGGTGTCGGTGATTTAATTACCGTCCATAACAAATATGAGCAAGGGTGGTAACGTGTAATGAATAATGTCTAATAACATGAAATCAATATTTTTTTTGAATGTACGGATATAGAGCTTATGGACAATGTCTTTTTTTCCACATAGATTCTTTCTGAAAAATGCTGAAACATACTTGTGCCACCAATCTCATGTTATAAAGATTTGTATAATTTGCAGTCATGTGTCCAAATGCTGTGCTGGATTTTAGATTACATGAAGACAAAAAGACACGAATTCAGTTTCTGCATGGACTTTCAGTACCTCAAGTAGAACATCTTATTATACTACATTGTTGAATTTCATGAAACTAAGTACAATTGATTTTAAGATTTTAAAATCTATTAAACAGTAACAATTTTAAGATTGATGAAAATGTCACACAATAACAATTTTAAGCTTCAGTTAATAGTTGTTTAGAACATGCTTTAAACTCAATCACACTTGATCAAATATTCATTCACAAAAAAATTGGTTTATATCATAAATGGATAACATAGAGTTGCAAACATTAATTTATTTGTATTTTCTCTCTTTACTACATCTTTGACTTTATATTTTTTTATAAACCATTTAATATAGTTTATGCACAATTTAATATTTTATCACTAAATTCATATCAAAAAATATTCTTACTTAAATCATACTAGTAACTAAGATCTTATTTATAAATATTTATCTATTTTTATTTTTAGATATTTAGTAAGTGGATAGATATCATAGAAAAAATTGGCACTAGCAATTACTTAGATAAGAGGAATTAAATAGAAGTAAATAAAAATAGGTCAAATGTATAATATCTTATAGAGAAGCTTCATTGATGCGGATTTGATTTTATACTTATATGTAGGTGATTGATAGGTTGAAAAATTTGGCTAGCAACTCAGCCATGTGTTGCACATGTTGGCCACATGATGCATATATAAGTTAAACACTTGTATTGTAAGTTGGATATGTGTTGGAGGTCTTACAAAACATAGCTACATAGCTCTTAGTTAGATTTTATATATAGAGGCAAGAGTGAAGCCTACTTCATTCTTGTCAATTCTTTTCTTGCTTCTAGTTTAGTTTCAAGATTTAATAGATTTTTTTTGTCTTTAATAGTAATCATTTTAATTACTTTTTGAATATATATACTTTCTTATTTCATTTTTTTATTGCTCTTTAAGATACATCTTACCTATTTATTTTTATTTTTTAAGTTCTTATCTTTGATAGATTAACATGAGTGTACCTGTAATATTTAGGCTTTGTCTTTTCTTGATTAAGAGTGGATTATCTATTTTTCTTCATAAGCCATAAGTATATTAGAAGTTGTGGATTATCTACTTCTAATCTGATATTGTTCTTATAATTTTTTTTGCTCTTTGGTCCTCTCTTCTATTTATCTTAAGTGATATTATATATCTTCTTTTCTATTGTATTATTATAATATAGCTTGTTAAAATGAAAGATTCAATGGCATTAATATAAGAGCAAATGAGATATTTAATTCTTATTAAATATTAATTTAATTTATCACCACAAAGAACAACAAGATTGGCTAAAATTAAAGATATAGAGATGATTGGACTTACTTCAATATCTACATCAAATCATATTACTTCTCCTATGGCAATAAATTGTTTAAGGATCATAGAATTAAGAATTGATTTGTATAAGTTTGATAGTCAAAGATCAAAGGTGTCAAGATTCATCAATCAAATATAATTAATAATTAAGCTTCAACTTCAAAGTACTCTAATTTAAAGATCACAAGACATGTTTATAGAAACACTATTTATAAATTTTATATTATCTTGGTTTTTATATTAATTAAATAATATAATTCAATATTAGATAATTTGAAGGTTTGTTTTAACAAAATTTGAATCCATATATGAAGGACATGATGGAATTTGTATTAAAATCAACAAGATTTATAATTTGCATTAAGAAATTTTTTTAATAACATAATATTTTACATAATTTTAGCAATTTATGTTTGACATTAAGTAAGATGATGATGTATTCATCAATCAATGTTTCTAAAACTTATAAAATGAGGTAAAGAAATTGATACTAGATTTATTTGATCCTCAAACATTGAATCAAGCAATTGACTTTGCTATGAAACATAACAATTTACTTTTTAAATTTTGATGTAAAAGTTGCAAAAGTAAGCCTCAATGTTTTTACAATTCAATGGTGACACCAATATCTTTTCAAGAAAAATTGTCAAGGACATAAATTTCAAAGAAAGAAAAACTCAATATACTCTTATGTCACTTGGAAAGAGTAGATATTCACTTAAAACTAATATAATATTGAAACTAGAATGGCTATTGCTAAAAAATAAGAAGACTAGAAAGTTTTGAAATAAGATTAAGGACTAGAAAATCCTTGAAAAGAATGAAGAAGGCTTCATTTTTGCCTTCATATATACTATCTAATTAGGAGCTATATAGCGATGTTTTATAGGAACTCTGAGACATGTCTAACTTACAAAATACATATCTTATCTTGCAAGGAAAGTTTTCTATGTGTGCACTATATAATAAGCTTGTACCACAAGCTATCAACACATGTCACATGTATCTAACTTGTTGAAAATGTTTTTAATCTATTAATCAACTATAAACATGTATAAAGTTAAATCTGCATCTATAAAGCTTTTAGGAAGATTTTTTATAAGATATTATCAAATTTATCTACTTTAATTTACTTCTACCAATTCATATAATATGAATAATTATTGGAGTAATATGTATGTCTATGATACAAACATTCAAAAATAGAAGATATACAAATTAACAAAATATATTTTAAAGCTCTTACTAAGTAAAAAAAAACTTGATGTTATTATAAAGGATTATACTTATATTATAGAAAATTTAAGTACTTGGCCAAAGAAGCAAAAAAACCACAAAATAAGAAGGATGGCTATTAAATAAGAATATATATTAAAAAATAAGTTTTTCTAATTATAATAGTAATTATATAGCTAGAATATTATATAATACTTAATAAAAGTTATGTTCTCTTTTTACAACCCTCTTCTTATTTTAGAATAGATATTTATTAAATATCTAAAAATCAAAAGGCCTTTGCTTTACTAAATTCAAGAGCTTTATTTTTTTATTATTTTATTATTTTTTTTTCTATATGAAGACTTTATTAAAAGATATAGAATATCTTTAGTAAATAAAATTAAACTTTTGTATGTAGAAGTTATAAATAGTCATCTTTTATCTTTTAAGATATTACTTATAAAAATATTATTGTAGATATATCAAAAAATATAATATAATAAATTAATGATATTCAATATTATTGGATATCCTTCCAATCTAATTATTTAATTTTATTGTAATTAGAAAAATATAAATTTTAAATAGATTAGGTTTTTTTAGTCTTAATTTTACCTAAAATATATCTAAGACTTTTTTTAATCAAGTAGAGAGTCAAAAGTCTAGTACAACCAAATCTTTACTTATAAATACAAAGCTTTCATATATACTACAAAATTAAGACCACTTTTTATTATTTTTGTCGTATCTATTTTTTTATGGCAGAAAGATTTCAAATAGCATTCTAATCAAGTATGAGGATTATGAAGACATTTTAAAGAAGAAAAATGCAGATATTCTTCTAAAATATAGTTCTTATAATTGCTTAATTGACCTCCTAGAAGAAGTTCAACTACCATTTAGACCAAATTATAGCTTTTCATAAAATAAATTAACTAAACTCAAGAAGTACATTGATAAGAACTTGATCAAGAATATTATATGCCATTTAAAATTTCCAATAAAAGCTTCTATCTTATTTGTGAAGAAAAAATATTAATTACTATAAATAATTATGGAATATTAAAGACTTAATAAGATTACTATCAAAAATAAATACCTTCTACTTTTGATATCAAGACTTCTCAATTAGTTGAATCAAGTTAAGATATATACAAAAATAAATCTACAAAGAATAAATAATTTAATATGCATTAAAGAAGGGATGGATAAAAGACTGCTTTTCAAATTAGATATGATTATTTTGAATACAATACTGTTGTTTGGACTCATAAATGCATTGACTATTTTTCAATATCTAATAAATGATGTTCTTTAAGAATTTATAGATAATTTTGTTATTTTTAATCTAAAAAATATTTTAATCTATTCTAAGAATATAAAAGAGCATGGACTTTATATTTATTATGTATTAAAAAAACTTAGATATATATGATTATGTACCAAGATAAAGAAGTGTATATCTTATACAATTTAAGTTGATTTTTTAGGATATATTATTTTAAATGATATTCTTATGATAGATTTTAAAAAAATAGAGTATTATGGATTAAAAGATTTTAAGAATATTAAAAGATATCTAATATTTTTTGAGATTTGTCTTTTACTATTAAATTTTTATTAATTTTTTTTCTTAAAGTACAAGTCCATTGATATGTTTGACTTGTAAAGACAAATTTGAATTGAATAAAAATGCTCAGGTAATATTTAAAATTTAGTAGAAAATTTTTACTTTTGCACCAATCTTATATTGTGTCAACTTTTTGAAGATACATTTTTATAGAATTAGATTCATTATACTTTGTCAATTGGTGCGATATTGTCACAATTAAGAGCAGATAATAAATTTTTCTATATAGCTTTTTATTAATTTTTTTTCAATAATTAAGATTAATTATAAGATCCATAACAAAAAGCTTCTTAAAATTATAAATTTATTTTTAAAATAATAGAATTTATTAAAAGGTGATTCTAATCTAGTAATTTTTTTCAAAGATTATAAGGACTTAGAGTATTTTATATTAGTGCATATTTTGAATTATTGCTAAGATCCTTAATAAAAATCCTAATTAAGATTTGTATTCAGTATTACTTATCAATTAGGAAAACAACAAGGTTTTTAAGATGTCTTTTTCTAAATATTCTTATCTAATACCAAAAGTATGAGATATAGCTTTTGATTAGCAACTTACTTTTCTTTTGAAGCCAAATTTTTTTCATCTTCAAGCAATGAAATCAACCTTTTTTTTTTTATCAAGTCCAATCAAGTATATCCTTAGAACCTCTTGTTTATGATATTAAGAATAATTCTTCTAAATTTCATAATATTTTTGAGTTTGAATTTAAGAACAATCTATTCTACTTTAAAAGATACTATTGTATTTTGTAAAAATTAACTTGAGCATGCACTAAGCATTTGGTTGTGGAAAGATTTGATATTACCTTGAAGTTCAATTCATAATCCAAAACTATGCATAAAGTGCTTAAAAATACCTTTTTACGATCTTGAACAATCTAAGTAATCTTTCAATTACCTCAAGCACATCCTATTAATTTAAAAAAATCCTAGATATGTCTTATTGCATTTTAATCAATTCCAAATAAATCCTAAATAATCCTTAATAAATTCTAATAAAACTATAATAAAGCCTAATATAACCTTAATTGAATCTTAATAAATCATAATAAAATCCTATCAAATTTTAATAAAATCCTAGTCAAATCATAATCAAATCTTAATGAGATTCTAGTCAAGTTTTAAATCAAATTCTTCTCAATTTTTAATAATTTCAATAAAATTTTAATCAACTTTAAATAATTTTAACCAAATTCTAATGAAATTTTAAGTAAGTCTTAAATAAATCCCAATTAATCAAATTTAAATAATCATAACCATATTTTAATAAAATTTCAAAATAATCTTAATAAATATTAATTAATATTAATTAATTAAAATAAATCTTAATCAGATCCTAATGATATCCTAATAAAACCATAAAAGCCTCAATTAAATCTTAATTAAATCTTAATCAATCTTGATCAAATTCAAATCAAATCCTAACAAATTTTAATTAATATTAATCAAATCCTAATAAAATCTTATTGCAAATTCAAAACTTTGATAACTGATAATCTAATTGTTTATCTTGCCTCAACATGTGGATATATCTTAATTTCTTAATTGAATACAATTCCAATAAATTTAAAGTGGATCAAACTTGCAAATTAAAAGAAAAACTTCATTATTTATTGAGGTGTTGGTCAACCTCTTTCTCCAATTTTGATGCCAATCTCTCAATGTCAATAGTTTTTTTTTTTTTTTTTTTTTTTTTTTTTTTCCATAATTCAATTGCTTTCAAATTTTGCATTGTTATAAAAACCTAGTCTATATTAGTTTACAAATTTTATCTCAATTCAACTAAAAAATTGTTGCAAATCATAGAAATTCTTATTGACTTTTAATATCCTATTTTTGAGATCCTATTCTACTTTAATTTGAATAACTTTTAATTCAATTATCTAATCAAGCCAAATTTATGAAAAAAAAATTAATATCATTATATTCACAAATCTTAAAAAATTTACTTATAGATTTGCTACAAATCTTATGAAATTCTCTCAATACAAGCCTTTTTTATTTCACAATACCAAAGTCACTCCAAAACAATCTAGTATTTCAAAGCTCTTAGAAAATAATTACTGATTCAAATCATAAAAAAATACTAAAAAAAGCCTAATTTATTTTATTCTCAAATTCTATTTTTTGATCTATAAATGAATCTCAAAACTATTGTAAGTACATGGTTTTGTGCCCTAAGGTCTAATTTCAACCAAGATTCATAACTAATCTTCTCTTTGCATCAATGTGTAATTTTTTTAGATAATTTTTGCTAAAAATTACTACTTATTTTTATCTAAAGATTTTCATGATAATAATTTTACTAACCTAATTTGTTTTGTCTTATTTATGGTCTCAAAAAATAAATAGAAGTATTTTCTTTTAAAAGACAACATAATTAGAAAGGGAGATAATCTTTAGAAAGGGAGATAATCTTTAGAAAGGGAGATAATTTCATGGACATAATTAACATTAATAATTATTTAGATAAGAAGAATTAAATAAAAATTAGTAAAAGTAGGTAAATGTTATAATTTCTTATGAAAAGGCTTCTTAGATACTCTATTGATGTAGATTTGACTTCAACAACTTGGTCACATGTCATATATCTTGGACATTTATGGTATAAGTTGGCTATGTAGTGCACATGTAAAAAACTTGTCTTGGAAGATAGACTTGTATTTTGCAAGTTGGACACATATTGGAGGTTCTATAGAGCATTGTAACATAACTCCTAATTAAATAGTATATATACAAATAAGAGTAAAGCCCCCTTTACTCTTATCAATTTCTTTCTTGCTTCTAGTCTAGTTTCAAGGGTCTATAGTTTTTTTGTCTTTGGCAATAGCCATTCTAATTTCTTCTTAAATATACATAATTTCTCATTTCTTTTTTGTCATCTTTTTTTGAAACACATCTTATCTATTTATTTTTATTCTTCAAATTCTTGTCCTTAACAATAGAAAAATATAAATTATATTAATAATACTAATATATAGAATTTTATTTTTATTAATTTTTTTAGAAAAATTAGTATAATTTTTTTTATTATTATTATTTTAAAACTTCAATAATATGTGATAATATCAATTTTAACAAGAATATGAATCCTAAATTCAAAATTCTTATTTTAACTATGATTTTCTTTCTTTACCTTTATAGTATTAATAACTTAAAATCATAGTTTTGAATATGTTTTTAGAACTAGAAAGTAACAACTCTTATATTTATTCCAAGAAAAGAAGTATTATAAATAACATTAGAAATAGACGTTTATCTAATAAAAGGATTTTTACAAGTCCACAATTCTTTAGATTATTCACTTGTCTTAGTAATTCATAGGCCATGAACTCAAATAAATATGCTTTATTTTAAAAATAGAAATAAAAATTCTTATTAAATATTAGAAGGAAAAAAATGATTTAATAAGTTAGAATAAATTAGTGTGATAATATTGTTGAAAAATATTTGACACAAAAACTATGCATTGTATACACTTCTCTTCTAATTACATCTAATTACATATGTAAGAGATTATTAGACTGTTCTTTTGAGTCCTTCAATGACTAAGTTACAAAATTAACAATGATGAAGAAGCAAGAACAACCTCTGCCTTTAACAACGGTCTACAATTTATACCAAATTAAAAAACATCACTTTTGTTCTCCATGGTATATTATTTGGTTGCATTCAATGGTAGAATTTAGTAGCTTGTGGAAGTTGAGTTGAATCCTACATTAGCTAATGATTAATGCAAATATGTATATATATATATATATATATATATATACTATTTTCTTTTCAACTTCCTTTGTTTTGTTATTTATTTACTTAATTATTCATTTTTGTATGTGTCTTAAATCTCAAATAATACAAAAATATATTAGGTAAAATTGAGTTTATAAATACAAATATATTAATAGTGTAATATATTCAGTTTGTTAATATTTTTTCAAACCAAGGCCATACTTTTTTATTGTACAACACTTCAGAATCTATGCGTCTCAACGTTATATCAAGATAAATCAGGATGAATATACTTAATGTTTGCTACTCTTTCAATCACATGTAATTAGAAGTGTTAAGGGACTCAACCATTAAAATAACAATGTTGAATCTATTTTAAATGCTTAATTAGCTACATAAACAAAATAACAAGCATCCAAACTATTACAATTTACACATTTCTATTTAGATGGAACTTGAAAATTTATCATCAAGAACTTCATTTCCTAAGTTACAAGATCTCAAAAAAATGTAATAATGTGAGTGATTGTCTTCATATTCACACAAGAATGCATAAGAAGTTCAAGTTTATTTTTATTTTTTTATGGCGAAACCACCGACAGTAATTGAACCAGAAATAATATTTACAATATATCTTCCATTAAACAGCATATTGACCTTTATAAGAGTGTCGTTTAACATTATCGAAGAGCTTTGTTTCATTTCATGAGAGTACCATATCTTAGAATATCAGAACCATTCATCATCAAATCATTCTTTAAAAAAACATCACCGACAGAAATGTACTTCAATGTGTTAGCTGCAACAAATGCAATAAAAGTTTTACCGAAATCTGCATTATCGCTTCGATCTAGCATTAAAATCCCACAGTTCGCAGTTGCATTGTATTCAACAATCCGATGTGAAAGAGATAGCCAACAGGGAGAGGGAGCGAGAGAAAGAGAGATTTGATCTAGCATACAAGGTGCGGCGCAAGCCCAGTTGAGGCTCCATCGCTATTTTTATTGCCTCTGCCAGGGCCACGAATAAATCAGTACAATGGGAGTACAATGGGAGCGAGAGAGCGAGAGATCGGCCTTTCTCTGACCAGACAGGCTGCTGCTCAGGGATCTTCATCCACCAGGTTCCTGCCTACAACAATTCCGCTCCCCAAAGAATAGATGACAGCCAATGAACTCACGGAGCTAGTCGTCAACAGTCCAGAGATTATCTCCTCCGGCCTTCGCGAGGCCAAATCAAAAACTCCATTTGTGGATGGCACCGCTCATCTAGTTCTATTTGCTACCAGAAATGAAGCAGCTCTAGAAATGAATAGTTCACGGATCTAGAAAACCCACTTGTGGGAGAAAGCTAGACACTGGGTTTAGAATTTCTTTTCGTCTACGGAAAGGGCAAAGTGTACAGTCTTGCCAATGGGCACGTATTCTCCGCTGTAGCTCAAGGGTTGCTGGTATCGACCTGGTGGTGGAGGCGGAGCCCCCAAGAAGCCGCTCATTCCGTTGTTAGGCACAGATGCGCCAGGACGTTGCTTGGTCGACGTGGATCGGTACGCACCCGGGAAGTCAGAAGCTTCGTTGTCGAGATCATATTCGCCACTTCTGATAGTGGGCGATGTGAACTGCTGGGTGCCGAGCACGGGTGACTTGAATTCAGGTGGCTTGAAGTCGGGAACTGGAAGATGGTTCGAGGGATTCTCGATGTCGAACTCCCCGCTTTCTTCCGGGATGATTGAGTGATCAGCGCTTTGGATGGCCGCGAGGTTGTTCGGTTGTCGTGACACGTTGGTATTCTGCTTGTGGAATGACTGGAGCCCGGAGGCCGTGCTGTGGTCGTCTGAATCGAATTGTCCACTGTCGCCTCCATATCTGTTGGTGCCGAACTGCGATTCGCTACCGTACTGGGAATCAGTATCCGCGTTCTGCTGTGGTCGCACACCCTGGTAGAGACCTGCTCGGTCTGAATCATTCTCGAGCGCGCGAACAACCTGGCAATAGTGAATTGAGTTAGACGATGGAGTTTTCAGTACCTCGAATAGGGGTAGGAGGTGCAGAAAAATAGCCAAAAGACAAATTTGAGCGTGTGTGTATGTGTGTGTTAGCGAAGAGAGAGAGAGAGAGAGAGAGAGAGAGAGAGATGGATACAACGGAAGCTCTCGTGACAGCTAAGACATATTCTTGAACTCATTAATTTACTATGTATCAGGTGCAAACGACAGTCTACCTGTGCCATCCTTGGACGCTTTAGAGCTGAATGTCGCACGCACGCAGCCGCGGTTTCAATAACACGAAACATTTCATCAGGGTCGTAATCACCATCCAAGTTGGGGTCCACCAGATCCTCCAAACGGCCATCTTCAAGAATACGCATCACCACCGGCCTTGCCCATTCTACCAAACTCTCAAATCCTGCCTCTTGAGTCGTATCTATGGGTCTCCTGCCAGTTACTAATTCCAGCAGTATCACACCGAAAGAGAAGACGTCTGACCTATCTGTGAGCTTTCCGCTGGCGGCATACTCTGGTGCTAAATACCCGAAAGTTCCCATTACTCTGGTCGAAACATGGGTATTGGTGTCGTTGGACAACTTTGCTAACCCAAAATCCGCGACCTGGTGCATGCAAAATAGCTCAGATCGGCTCAAAATGACCATGGCCAAGAATGACCGACATGCGTTACACCCTCAAACAAGACCAAGTCTATAACCTGGTTAATAAAACAAATTCGACGACCAGACGTTACAGCTACGATTCTTCGAAATAAGTCATACCTGAGCTTCGAAATTCTCATCAAGAAGAATATTAGAAGACTTGATATCTCGATGGATAATCTTTGGGTGACAATCCTCGTGCAAATATGCAAGACCTCGAGCGCATCCAAGAGCAATCTTCAGTCTCGTACTCCATTCCATGACAGGCATATCAGGATCTGATCACGGGATAAATTTCAACTTGTTAGGCTGCTATTGAGGTTTCAACACAAACACTAGATAGCTTAAGAAACCACTCCCGAGAGGATACAATTGTCAAGAATGCACTTACTATGCAAGTTGTTCTCCAAAGTGCCATTGGGTACAAATTCGTACACAAGCAGTCGCTGTTGGTTGGACACACAGTACCCCACGAGGGAAACCAAATGACGATGATGCACCCTACTAATGACCTCAACTTCAGCTCGAAACTCACGCTCTCCTTGAGCTCCGCTCAGATTCAGCTGCTTCACGGCCACAACCGTCCCATTCTGCAACGTCCCTTTGTACACGCGACCAAACCCACCCTCGCCAAGAAGGTTGTCTTTGGAGAAGTTACCCGTAGCCTCCTGCAGTTCACTGAACAAGAAGTAGGATCTAGAGTTGCCCATCGCATCGGAGCCAGATGGAGGCGGAGGTATATCTGAGCCATTGACACTACCCGAATGAATGCCCCAAGCATCTGGATTGTCACTTTTGTAGTGGGCACCTGTAAGAGGCATTGCAGCACTTGAGCCTTTCTGTGAGAAGAATCCATCACCGTCAATTCGTCTCCTCCGCTTCCTGCAACAGAATATCAGGAGACAAACTACAACGGCAAGGGCCACGATTCCCCCAACAGCCCCACCTACAACCAGTGCTCGACTAGAGACTCCACTCGACGGCGGTGACGGTGATGTCGAGGGAGGCCCAGAGGAACGACCCGGCGGAGGTGGAGTATCGAGGTCAGGCTGGGTGATTTTCGGAATAGACAGCGCAGGGGCAAGCGATGTCGGGGGCGGTGCTAGAGGGGATAACAGTGGAGGTGGTGCTGTCGGTGACTTGGGAGCAGAGGCGGGAGCCGACAGTGGAGGTAGCGGTGGCGGTGGTGGGGATTCTGATGGTGGAGGAGGCGGGGATTCTGATGGTGGAAGTGACGGGGGTGATGAAACGGAGGGTGGCGGGGATCCTGAAGGTGGAGGTGGGAGTGCCTCTGCAGGTGGAGGCGCTATAGTTGGCTCTGGGGGAGGAGCCCCAGGCAGAGGTGGGGATGCAGGGGGAGGAGAAGCAATACTCGGAGGTGGTGCCTCAACTGGAGGTATAGCAGGGGGAGATACAATTGTTGGAGGCGCCGCAGGAGGTACTAATTGTGGCGGTAGAGCTTGTGGTGGCGGTGATTCAACAATGGGAGGTGGAGATGTTTCAACTGGTTGAGGTGGAGGTATTATAACCGGAGGAGGAGCTGCTAATGGGGGTGGGGATTCAACAGGAGGAGCCAGCTCTGGTGCTGGCAATGGTGGAGGCCCCACGGTAGGATTAGGAGGAGGTAGGAATACATCAGGAGGAGGCGTTTCTGGCGGTGGCGATGGTGGGGATTGAGCAGCAGGATCAGGTGGAGGCGTTTCTGGTGGAGGCGATGGTGGCGATTGAGCAGCAGGATCAGGAGGAGGTGATACAGTATCTGGTAGAGGAGGAATAGAAGGAGGAGCTGTAGCGTCTGGTTGGACAGAAGGAGGAGGAGGTGATGTGGGATCTGGTATTGGAGGCAGAGCAGGAGGAGATGTCTCATTAGACTCGACAGAGGGAGGAGCTGATGCAGAATCTGGCACTGGAGGAAGAGCTGGAGGAGTTGTATCTTCAGGAGGGGGTGGAGGAGGGGATGTTCCTTCCCACGGTGCCAGCACAGGGCTTCCACTATCATTTTCGATGTTGCTGTCGTTTACTTCCGCTTGAATTCCATAGTCTCCCTCATCATCATGATTTTTGGATTCAGATGCAGTCGGGACATTGGTCGAAGCTAGTGGAACCGCTCCAGCTGATGGAGAGTAAAATCTCGTAGATGCAAAGGCGCGAACCATCTTCGCTAGACTATGGTCGTAGCCTGGAGAGCCTATCCACGACTTCTGATTGCTCACAGCTCTCCGACTACGCTTCTGATTCTTGAGAACATCTAAGCAAATTGGATAAGTATGTATATTTTTCGGCAACTTCTGCTTGAGCCCTTAACATTTCTTCAGACACAAGATTAATGTCAAATCGACATTGACAGCGAATATATCGCTGCTGCTTGCATTAGATCTATCCAAATAATACGTTTGAATTCTACACCTGCTCTACAATCACTCCGTCGATGAAATCATACATGGTCAATGTAATCAACCCCAAAGTTCCTGGTGGTGAAGTTGAAGTCCGGAGTAAGACTCGAAATTATGTAAGAAGGATTTCCTGACGAAGGTGCATAGTCGAAGTGTAATTCTAGGCCGAGAAGAGTTTCATCAAAAAATTCGGGTCGCACCTCATTACCCTGCTTACACTTGTTAATGTGATATTCCTGCTCATACCGAAGCTATTCTGAAACAGTTGAATTCTTCCCATTAGGTCTTCGTCTGTAAGAACAGTTGCAGAAGCGTGTAGAGGAAATCATAATAGCTTACTCAATGATGCTAAAGGTCCTGGTGGTCTACGTCAGGTTGCATCCTTCCATGCTCTGCAGATGACCAACCAGTAAGTGGCGTCGCGTCAAAAATGTTCCTCAGCTTGAAGATTTGTGGCTAGACTGCACTTTGAAGGGTAAAGCATCAAGTTTACCACCTACGTCATGTGCCATCTATCATGGTTGGGGAACGCCATTGCATTGCCTAAACAACTGCATCCAGGTGCGAAGACAAACCTTGACATTGTAAATAGGGACGTTGCCGCCACATCCTCCCAGCATCAACATTGGTCGTACTGGATACCCCGTTCGCTTTGCCTAGTAATAGCTGGAAGGTTCACTTGCTTGATTCCGAAATGCACATCTCGACTCCAAGATTTCTAATCTAATGTCGTTAACTAGTTAAAGCCGCGAAGTGGCAATGATACAAGTAGAATCTAAGCCCTAAATTTGCATACTGCTTAGAGCAACACGCGGTGACACAATCCGACACGCATGAGACGAGGGCCTCCAGTAGGTAACTAAACCAACAGAACTACTAAGATCTCGGAATCAAGACACAAGTACTCATCGCCAAAAGTTGTTTGCGATATAACACTGACAGCATGCGAGCTTGAGTTCAAAAACTGACAACAAGGAGTTGAGTAGCAGACAGAGCAGTATTCTATAATTTCGTGCACAATGCAGCGTATGGGAGGCACTGAGAGTGCATCTAACGCGTGTAAATGGTTGCGGCAAAGCTCAGAGCTTCAACACCCAATCAATTGACATCCACAAGATTTGCTATGCGAGACGTCTCTACCAACGTCTCAGCTACCCAAAAGCCAGGGAGTCACGACTGGTCCAAGACAAGGAGCAAGCATCAACAAGTCCACCGCTCCTGCAGAGTCCGAAATACGAGCTACCTGTCCCTACAGCCCTGGTCTTCGTTCTAGCCCCACTAACCCCACCAACATTAGCTAAGTTTTGAGAACAAGACGGCCTCCACTTGCAGCAAATGCAGTTTGGCTGTTCCAGCTCCCCAATTTGAGATTCATGGAGCTGCTGAATCCTCGTCATCATGGAGGCAGCGCGCGCTGAAAATAGAATATGTCCTGGGTAACCGAGGCGGGAACTGCCGAAGTTTCTTTAATGGGTTTTTAGGTTAACTGCATTGCCTTTTCCAAGCCAGCGCATTTCGTTGCGGCATGTCCACTTCATTAATGCCTCCATTCGAGTCCCGCTTAGTTTTGCGACCTTTCTGGGAAAATTACTCACCCGACAATGCTCAGGTGGATCAATGAGATTCAGATAAATTACTCTATTTCAGAATTATTACCTACAGCTTTGTGAAAATGTCATTTAAACCAAAGCTCGCATGTTATTTACGAAACTTCCAGTGAGCGACTTCATTTGGCGGCTCCACCTGTCTTGGCACACTCGGCGCCACATTATTGGATCTTGGTTGACCCGTTCTGCTGAACATGATGTGTTGTCGAGGTGAAAGTTTAGTGCTGCAAGGCGGAATGTCTTAGCCTAAATGGAAAAATGATGTAAGCATGTGCAGCAGTTCGAAGCGCTGACTTCGGCAGAATTTTCTGTGCTTCAAGAATGAATATTGGAGGGTTACACAACTCAATTCATTCTTGTAAATTTGTCATGAGTGAGGTCCATGAACTGGGTTTCTTGTGTCTGATTCTTGATGTGTTCCGTATCAATCTTGTCAACCTTGCTTTCAGCAGTGCAGCAGTAGATAGAGATAGCATGAGGGGTTCCAGTGCATGTTGTATTTTTTGGTGATTAAATCTGTGGATCGAATATGTCGGAAGATTTGCTTAAAAGTTGATTCGCATGGGTGATTTGCACAATTTTTTTGTCAACGGATGTCAACGTTGTTGGGCTGAGAATCCATTCCTAGCAACTGCCTGCATTTAAATTTTCGATGTAGTCAATGTCACCGCGACTTCTATTGCAAACACTTACGTAGAATGTGATAACTACTGCCCCTGTCTGACTTGATGAGGAATTTGGTACAATTGCGGGTGCGGCGGGGCGTGGCAAACACAAGGTCAGACACGCTCCGCAGTCTCAACAGTGATGTCATCAGCGCTGCCCTTAGTTCCTCTAACATTTAATTAGTTTCAGGTATTCTAATTTAGTTCCAGATTCTCTGCTTCTGTAGCAGTAATGCCGGTCTTTGTTCATTTTACTCCCCTTTTATTGTGCATTCCGAAATCTCGTATGAGGGCAGAAATTGAGCAAAATTGGCAAAGAATGGCGGCAATTCGGTGAAGGGCCCAACGGTAGTACATCGGATTTCCAACAGAGGGGGCAGTATTCGTACCATCGAAGGGACAGTATTCTATGAATCGGCCGTGTAGAAAACTATTTTTCACAACTGCTTCTGAATCTCATCACATCTGCAAACCCGCAGTTGCAAGGTTTACAATGATACGAATCGCACTCTGCGAGAAGAACTTCCTCATCGACTGCGGTTGTCATGATGTGCATGGCTGTTATTGGCGTCGACAGTATGCTACTCGTGGAAGGCTTTACTGATGTTCGTCACACTTTCGCTAGTGAAGATCTTACTTATTCAGGAAAGTATCAGCTCTTGTGCTTTGGTTACTTCATGTATCGGACTTGTGGACGGAGTACTTAGACGAACACTCTAAAATCCCTTGATTTTCTGATGAAATGGGCAGGTATCCAGCTGAGTCCACTGTGTAAAACTTATGCATAGTCCAATTCTAATCAAGTGACATTTTTCTTTGCGGTGTTTCCAGTTACGTTCTTGATTTAAGTCCTTTTGCAGGGTTGACTTCGAGGACGAGAGAGCAGTGTCAAAACCAATAAGGCACCTCTACCCTCGAAAGGCTTTAATGTCTACTATGCTTTCTTCTTTGGTCCGAGTCTTATTTTTATTTTCTTCTTTTCTTATTACCTCTATCATTCAACTAACTTGCGGAAAGAAAACGAATTCCAACCCGAATGCCTCGACATCACACGAAGTTATCACACAAGCGATGCAGTAAAATGGGATGATGAAATAGTTCCATCTCAAATCGGTTGTTTTTGAAATACATTGTTATACAACAGGACCTTCACTTCGTGAACATTTACATATATTTACAGGCCTGCCGACGCAGACACGCTAGCAGTGGCACTTAAATAGACTATACCTATATAATTAGAGAAAATTGTTACGGAGCTGGTACCAGGCCATCTAGATCTAGGCGGTGAAACAAGGGACACATTCTCATTACGTTGCAGTCTACTCCGCCTCCTCACGTTCCCTTCGCATCCGGGAAGCCCAAGACTCCCGCTTACCACCTGTGGCTGCTCTCTGTCGCAGCCCTCGTATCTGCGATTCCCATTGATCCCTCCATTGAAACCTAGAGCCTGGTATGTCCGATTTCCCTGTTCTCCTACGATTTCCTGCTCTTACTTCAGCAGACAGAGTCCTGGTGTTCAAAGGGTTCTGCAACCAAAGATCGTAATCTGCACGTAGATGAGGATCCGAGAGCGTGTCGTAAGCTTCCTGCACCTGCAGAAAGCGTTTCGTGCATTCCTCCCTCTCCGTGGGAGGGCACACATCCGGGTGGTAGCGTCGAGCCATTTGCCTGTAGGCCACCTTAATCTCTGGCAAGCCTATAAAAAAATCCACATGGGCTTGTGTTTTTCATTCTGTACACCATTGCCAACTGAAGTTTATAAAGAGGGTTCATCGAATACGAGAACTGAAGTTGTGAGGAAATTACTCACCTACGTGCTGGGGAATTCCAAGAAGCTCATACAGTGTCGGAATAGGCACGCAATTGTCGCGCGGGGCATCTGCTGTTGAGCTGCATCGCACACAGTGTTCCCCTCTCTGCTGAAAATGACGAAATAGACGGAAGTGCAGCCTAATGCGAAATGTATGGTCGTTTCCTGCGTGTATCCGCGCGCACAAATGATGTCTGCTACTGACAGTTGTACAAGAGCGACCGTTGCAAATTTGGTACTGATTGCGCAGATAGCAAGTCGTGGACGTATATCTCTGTGTGAACGGTGAGTGGAAATGCACGACCATCGCCATAGCCGTGGAAGTCTTGGGAAACCAATCTCACATTCCAACGCTTAAAAAGGTGGACTGCACTATCCCCTAATTCTATGGTATCAAATTATGTGTAGCCAGGCTTTGAGGTCCACCAAGGAAACCTGATGACTCCCCGAGTGCTTTTCACAAGTTGGAGTTGAGTAATAGTGAGAAATCGATTCTACCTACACAACTTTGTTACACAGGGGGTTCTGTACTATTTGATAATTCTACGGAAATCGAATAACGATTTCAATTTAGGGACACTACTGGAAGTCCACATCAGGTCTATTCGAAGAGACTGAAACTGAGTTGAACGCCAAGAGGAAGTTCTTCTGAGGATAGCTCACATGCAGCGGCTGGAGAAGTACTTAATCAGCTGAAAACGGCATAAAGCACTGCCGTAGCTCACTTCTCAATTGAGTACACAACTTACGCTCTGGCAGATGTCAAACTCCACTCCGCTTGCCCTCTCTCTGTTTGCTCATACCTAACTCAGGCTTCATGGACGCAAGGGTAGTGTCGAAGCAACCCACGAGCGGAACTTGGTGCGGGCCAAACCTCCAAGAATCATCTTAGTCCTGGCGAAGCATAACATTCACCACCCAAATTCCGATCGAAGTAAAAAGAAAAGAAAATCATATGCGTGACCCACGCCGAAAGATGGGATCTAAAATTCAGGCCACAACATTTGTATCTTCTCAGGAAAGGTGTTCAGATTTGAGCAGTGATCAAGCGTACACGATCACACAATCTGTAGCAAGTAGTCCAATAATTGATGCCTGATGACGACTGTAGCCGGGGCAGATTTGTCTCCGAGCCGACGCAACCTTGTAACGACGCTATAAAGCTTCGCATTTGGGTGATCAAATCAGGATTTGAGAAGTTGAATAAAATCGGTCCCAATTGTCTCAACCAATTCTCCGGCAGCAAGAAGTGCAGCCATCAGGGGATTCAAAGACACCCTGCCTGACTTCTCTAGAATTTTGTGTATTCTAGAAAATGTAATAATATATCCAGCGAAGCAAGATTCGTGCCAAGTGTCGAGAGCTGGATAGAGAGGGAGAGTGTGCGGCCTGTGATTTTGCTGGTTGGCTTGGTCGACCGCCTTCTTGCCCTTCGTTTCAGTATTCGTAAACTCTATCTGAACATCTCGAATGTGTATACCAACATGCGACGAAGTTCATGCACCGGTGATCAATCCAGTTGCAACGGGGTTTGTTAACCTGTTGAGTCTTTACGGCAATGTTTGCCGTCCAGCTGCATGCGATCCGATCCCGAAGCGCTCCAGCCGGAAAGGTTAATGCAATTGGGCATATGTTTCACGTTTCATGCCCCCGAAGGTCCGCCAGAAATAATTTTTGCAAAACTTAGAACTTCAGAAGCAGCACCGAAGGCTGGTGTTTTTAAGCGTCAGTGATCCAGGGCAAGGTACGTGGCTAAGCGTGCGTATTTTACTACATTTACCGCTGAGGTGACAAAGATCGAGGGTGATTGTAGAAGCTTAAGTAACTGTGTCTGTAATTTAATTAGCATGAATCGTCGAAACTTGTTGGCGTTATCAACCTGTGCTGACGCCATTCTCCACGATCGCCCTCATCCTCCACACTCGCCCTTTCTGTTTTCCGTAGATGAAGTCTATCAAGTTGCTCCACAAAAACTAGATGTAGACCAAATCTAACTTCTGTATATAATGATTCAATTCAATAAATAATCCTCGCTTGTTTCGAGCAACTCATTGTTAGTATTGCACATGGTACCAAAATTACAGTACTAGACTTAGGATAGCAACAGAGTTCTACTATCTGATCACTAGTTGATAGACAATAGAAGCCACATACTTATTACAAGTGAGTGACCAATGGCAAGCATCAAATAGAAAACCTCAAACTGTGAGGTTGGCAAGAGAGTAAGTTGATAGGACCACAAAACTTTAATTTATGGAGACTTAGGATGACAAAAACATTGAAGAGACAATCTGTGATCATTAATGGTAGAAAAGAACACTTTGAAAGCATTTCCAGTTACAACAGGTGATAAAATTTACACAAAAGATCAACTAAAAGAAGCTAACCAACAAGGACAATTATGATAATTATGATTCATCTCGTTTGTTAGAAACAACCTTCTTGGTGTAGTATCTCAATATGACAATAGAGCTAATTCCTTGGAAATGTTAAATATGATGTTTCAATTAGAAGATTAATAATATATTATGTTCCTTCTTCTTGGTGTAGTATCTCAATATGACAACAGAGCTAATTCCTTGGAAGTATTAAATTTGATGTTTCAATTAGAAGATTAATAACATATTATATTCCTTATCAACAAGCTCAATACTATGACCATAAACATAGGATGCAAAATTAATACATATCTTATTAAAGCGATGGACATGCAAAATCAATTCAAGGCATTTAGAGAGATAATTTTGGATAAGATTTTGAATGATATTGTATTCAACAAACTTCTCTAAAACTATGAAATGGTCATCCAAGCTATAACCTTGATACAAAATCTATCATTTGAAGAAGTTATAGAAAAATTGTTGATAGAAACTCACAACATGCATATGTATGGCCAAAAATTTGGTCAAGAGGTAGCTCTAGCAGTTCAATTGTAATATTCTATATTTTGCGTTAGAAAAAAATAACAATTCTATCAAAGAAGTAGGAACTTTGGTCATATGGATCTATGATAACATTAGTATTTTTAAATAAAAAATATTTGATTCTAAATAACATGTAAGATTGAAACATCTTAGTCAAAAGAGACAAAAAACCCAACAATGGTCTCTATAAAATCAACAACAAAAAAGCCTTATAGATATAATAAATTTAATTTCTATTAAAGAAAGCTTGTATACATGGTAGAAGCAATTTAACCACTTATACTATATCAAATTATAATACTTATCTAAAATACAAAGAATAGCTGGACTTCTATTGTTTTTATTCACATACCAAATATATAACAACTTGTTAGCAATGAGACAATATTGGAGAAGCTTTTAAAAAGCATCAAAATATTAGGTCTATAAGATACTATAACTAATAAATTCTAATCTAGTTAGTTTAATGAAAAGTTTGTTATTGTGGGATTCTTATCACAAATATGTCAAAAGTTACATATATAAGTATAAGTGCACATATAAAAAACTTAATTTCCAAGTTAAGATGTGTTTTCCAAATTGGATATATGTTGGAGGTCTTATAGAACATTACTACATAGCTCTTAGGTAGATAGTATATATAAAGGCACAAATGAAACCTTCTTCATTCTGGTCAACTCTTTTTTTTGCTTTTAGTCTAATTTCAAGAGTCTCTAGTTTTTTAGCTTTATGGAATAGCCATTCCAGTTTCTTATTAATTTTATTTAATTTTATTTAAATATTTTTATTTATTTTATATATCTTCTTTAAGTTCTTTTCTTTAATATTTTAAAAAGATTCTTAATTTATCATTCTTATCTTATTTTTAGAAATGAGTGGATTATCCCACTTCTGTTGTTGTATTTTAAAGATTGTAGACCATCTACTTTGAATTAATATTTATTCAAGAAAGAGCTTAGTTATCATTTGAATCAATTTACAGTTTATTATAAAATGAGTTAGCTGAACTTAAGGAGTACATTGAAGAAAATCTAACCAAGAACTTTATATGCCATTCCAAATCTCCAACAGAAGCTCTGATTTGATTTGTGAAGAAAAAAGATGCATCATTGTGGATGTGTGTCTATTATTGAGGATTCAATAAAATCACCATCAAATATAGATACTTGCTACCTTTGATATTTGGATATCTAGATCAATTGAATCAAGCTAAGATCTATACAAAAATAGATCTACAAAGAGCATAAAATTTGAAATGCATCAAAAAAAAAGAAATAAATAGAAGATTACATTATCATAATATAACATAACTAATAAGTAAAAAAGATAAAGAAATTATTATATTATAGAATATTTTACTTCAAATATTGTAGAAAATTATCTTAGAAAATAGAAAATAGTCTAAAAGAAAGTAAATTTTAAAATATAAATATTATCTTTTTACAAAGTACACTTCTATATATTTTGTAAGGCCATAAATAAGGCAAAATATAGTAGATTAGAAAAATAAAAGATATGAGCATATGTAAGAAGAAGTTGGGAGTTGATTAACTCAAAAGGATAAAATTTGATACCTAAAAAAGACTAGTTACCAATCTATGTTGAAATAAGATCCCAAGGCACAAAATTGGGTACTTATGGTAATTTTTGGGTTCTTTGGGAGATCAAAGAGTGGAATTTGAGAGCAGACTTATTAAGATATTTTAAGCATTCATTTTGAATGATTTAAGTATCTAACAACTTTATAAGAGCTTTACAAAGTCATAGTTGTTTTAGATAATTTTCGAATTTGTGAAATAAAAATGATATTACGTTTTAGAGAATTTTATGAGTTTGGTAGTAGATTGGTAGTTCAAATTTTAAGGATTAATGAGGATATTTTTCTAAAATATATGTTGTAAATTTAAGCTTTATTGAATAGTTGAATTGAAGGTTATTAAATTTCAAGTAGGTTGATGTCACAAAAATTAGATTTTGAAGGACAATTAGGTCTTCTAAAATCTTCAATAATCTACTAATTGAATTGGAGTGAAATTTATGTATAAAGGTAATAGATTTAATTTGCTATACATATGTGAAATTTGAAAACAATAAAATGGTTTGAAAAGGAGATATTGGCACTAGAAATTCAACATTTGGATTGGAGTGGGAGGCCAGCTAATACCTAAGCAAGTTTTAGGATTTTTCTTCTATTTGGTAAGTATGATTATCTTCAAATTTGTTATACTATTTTTTAACTAAGAAATTGAGAGGTATGTAAATTTTCAAGGAAGATCAATAAATTAATTAATAGATATTAGAATTCTAATCCACCTTAGGATTTAATTTAGGATTTAGGATTTGTTTAGGATTTGATTTAAGGTTTTAGAAATATTAAAATAATCAAAAATATATCTTAAATAAATTTCGATCAAGTCCTAATTTAATCTTAATTAAAATTCTAATAGAATTCAATTAGATTCTAGGCCAAATCCTAAATCTTAAGAAAATCTTAAATCCTAAATCAAATCCTAACTAAATTCTAAATCCTAAACCAAATCCTAGAAAAATCTTAAATCTTAAACCAAATCCTAAACAAATCCTAAATTCTAAATCAAATCCTAAACCAAATCCTAAAAAAATCCTAAATTCTAAATCAAAACCTAAACCAAATCGTAAAAAAAAACCTAAATCTTAAGTCAAATCCTAAATAAATCCTAAATTAGGATTTTATTCTTACAATTTTTATTCTACCTTCCACAACTTGGTGCTTGATGCATTCTTGAGTAAGACTTCACATAATACAACAACGATTCAAATAAAATATAGACATTTTGAATATAATATCATACCTTTTGGACTTACAAATATAGCAATAACTTTCTAACATCTAATAAATGATATTTTTTGATAGTTTTTAGATGATTTTGTTATTTATTATGTAGACAACATCTTAATTTATTCTAATAACATAAAAAAATATGAACTTTGTTGAGATCATTAAATGTAGCTGGTGCTCTCCATAATATTTACTGTAGACTATAGTAAATACCATAGCTACAATATTTAGAATCTAGTAGAGAAGTACTGTTTATCTTCTCCCCTTTCTCTTCTTCTATACAAGACACAACCAGATCAATAGATTTTTATGTGTAAAGCTCTCTCTTCTTAGAAACCCTCTTGTATGTATGACGTACTACTATTCTTCTCTGTGTATTACTTACTATTACTCTTGTGTCTTTCTAAATATTCTCAATACTTTATCAACACAACTCTCTTCCATACACTATCACAATTTTTTTTGCTCTAGACTTGACTTTTCAGACATCTTGCTATTCTT